CCAATGTCTTCTGGGTTACATGGAACTGTATTATGAAATATATATAAACCTATGGTTGATTAAAAAAAACTTATAACAAGTGACTTTTGAGAAAAAGTCTTAAAGGAGGATAGGATTAAGGAATGACAGCGTGTTATGAAATAAGTTCTGGATGTAGAAGGAAATTTGAAAGGAGGCACGAAGAGGACAGTCAAACAAGGAGCTTGGACTGAACAAAGAGGGCACCAGGGAGCAAAAGAAAACATGACCAGATGTAAGAAAAATTTAAGTTTTAGATGTGCTCAAAAGTTAAAATTAGGAGCCTGAATTTCAGAAGGGAAAGCAACAGAGACAATGAGAGGATTCTGAACTGGGTTGAACTTGGACAGTGATGAGTGAAGCAGATGATTTTCACAGCAGAATAGATGATTGATGTCTATCATAGTGGGCAGTGGGAAGAAGGTTGCTGTAGTTAAAGCATGAGATAATGAAGGCTTGTATAAGGGTTTTGTGCTGTGAACAGTGAGGAATAGGTGGATTTAAAAATACTGTAGTGATGAAACCAACAAAATTTAATGATCATTGTACGAGGAGAGGAGGGCGTTAAAATGACTGCAAAACTCCTAATCTGTGGGAGAAGGAGGATACTGGGGTTGTTAACACTTATAGTGAAATTCAATGAGGGTGTAGAAGCAGATCTGGTTTGCAAGGAAGACCACTAAACTGAATGAAGGGATGATAAACTCGTAGTGGAGGAAGTCTGCACATGCAGCAAAGCAATCAGAAGTTGGGGGTGGGTGGGATGAATCAGTCTGACAGACAAGGGGGCAAAGGAGCTGGGAAGAAAGGATGGAATTTTAGATGGAAATCGTGAATTGAATGGAAGAGAGTGAAGAAAGAGAAGGAATGAGAGGCAGGGAGACAAGTAAGAAATGTCAATGGACTAGAGGTAACAGAAGGAATGTGAGCCAGAGATGGGGTAAGTGAGCAATACAGAGAAGGAGATAAGATGATCAGACAGAATTCAGCAGAAGGCAGATCAGTGAGAGAGCAGTTCTTGTCAATGATATGGTCAAGGGAATGGCTTGTGTCTTGAGTAGAGAAATTGATCAAAGGCAGTAAGTCAGATGAGGGGGGTAATTAAGAGGAAATGTGGGTCAAGAGTGCCATTAACATGAAGTTCTAAGTTCCCAAGGTGCAGGGGCTGGATGACTTTTCACTTATAAAATGTTTAAAAGGCACACTGAAATCTAGTCCAATGTCATACAAGTTAAAAGCAGTTTCAGATATTATACCTGCATCTGAATTTTCCTGTCATTTTACACATTTTTTCCAATCACATTTACTTATTTTCTAAAAGGCTTATTTATTTATTTATTTGTTTGTGAAAGACTTAACACAGGAAACTAACTAACTACATATGAGAAAGAGTGCAATCTCAGTGGGATCCCATTTGCATGGGTTTCCATGACCATGCAAATGACAACTCCCCTGAACTGATTCCCCAACTTTGCCTTAAATTATCACTGTGGTTTACAGATAACTTGCAATAGATGAAATAACAGGAAAGATTACTAGAGTACCACTAGCAGATGTTCAGATTCAAGTCCAACTGTTTGCAAAATCAAGAATTAAAAAAAAATGTATAACATGGCTGTACAGAAAAGGAAGAAAAGTTTCATTCTGTCCACCATACTCAATTTGCACACTGAATAACTGTTCTGGATTATCAATACCCTGATCAATCCAAGCTGCCTCCATTTGAAAACAGAGGAGTGATTTTCTTTCTGTGAGGAATTTGCTGTTCATTTTGTCGATAAAATTAATCTGAGTTGGACAGAGATGTCTGCATCCCTGGGTATAGGGCAATGTCTTGAAGGAACAAACAAAACATTTTCTTTCACTGAATTTTGACCATTGACACTCAAAGTTCTGGAAGTGTTGAAAACACTTTGAGTCACTACTTGTGCATGGGGCCATGTCCCTCTTGGCTGGTAAAGGCTAACAAGGAGATAATATGCCTGTTGGTGGTTTAAAAAAAAAAATCTGTCAGATTCTTTGGCTGAATGTTTGGTGTCTGGTGTCCTCAAAGAGACACTGGTAAGGCCTCTACTCAACAAATAACGACACAAAACTTTGCCAGTTACACAGTCTCCCTCCTTCTTTTTGAGTAGTCAAACAGGTATGCTATCTGCAGTCTTCAGATTCCGTTGATCTCAGTCAGTCTCATTTTAAAACAGGTTATGAGATAGACACCAGTGGGGGTTTTGATCATGGATTTCTTCCAGTCTATGGATGAAGACAATGTACCTCATGCTGATTTTGTTAAGATCACTGGTACCTTCAATACTGCTGGGCATGAGGTGGTATTGAGCTTTCTGTGGTTCCTACCAGGAGTGGATAGAACTGTTCTGAAGTGGTTTTGCTAATTTTTACATACAAGGACTCTCACTGTGATTTAGGGCAAGCGTTCATCCAATTCTAGGACATTCTTATGCAGAGTTCTGCACAGTTCAACTGTCTACCTTCTTGTTAAGCTAAACTTAAAAACCGACCTGTGATGATGTGCAACTATGGAGAGACTTCATGAGCACCAATATGAATCATAGAATATCAGGGTTGGAAGGGACCTCAGGAGGTCATCTAGTCCAACTCCCTGCTCGAAGCAGGACCAATCCCCAGACAGATTTTTGCCCCAGATCCCTAAATGGCCCCCTCAAGGACTGAACTCACAACCCTGGGTTTAGCAGGCCAATGCTCAAACCACTTAGCTATCCTTCCCCCCATGGTATCGATCATGGCCTTTTGTCTAAAAAGATTAGGGTCAACAAAAGGAAAGTCAGGTACTTCATCCTGCATCTTCTGGGTGAAGCCAGAATTTAGCAGCCAGGAATATACCCCTTTAATTGTAATTGCAGATGCAACAGATTGTCATATCAGGACTGCAGACTTAGCCTCAAGGGAATGCTTTGTTAAGTCCAGACCTTTCTGAACCAAAGCCTTGAATATTTGTTAGTCAGTCACTGGCAGCATATCAATCACAGACAGCATTTTATCCTATAGATTTAATCCTATTCAGCCACCACAGCTTAATAATTAGTTATGCAAATAGCCAAAACAACTAAAAAGTACAATTTCCTGCCCAAATGGTCCAGCCTCCTGGACATCCTATCAGAGAATGCAGAATGAAAGGTCTTGTCAGCTCTTTGGTCTTTAACAAGTGAAACCATCAAGGAGCCTGCCTGCTTTTCAAAGTTGCAGGGCCTATGCTATGCAGTATGCTACCTCACAGAGGTAAATTCTTGAAGTGTGTGTTTTACACCTTACTACTTTCATAAACACTGATGGTCTCTGGAAAACTGATAACATTCTTGTGAACCAAAGACCTCTTGATACCAACTGGCAGAGGGCACAGGTGTACATAAGAATACAGGGTGTCCTGGGTTCACCACAAATGTCATGCAAGGTCTCTAAAGAAAGCCTGTGGCACACTGCATTATAATCACTGTGAGAGGTATGTAAAAATAGTATGTGAGGCGTTATACACACACATGTTGAAAATATTCTCTAGGCCTTGTAGTTAAAAAGACAGGTCACTCAAGGCACGCTGCGTGCCTTGAGACAAAATTCTACAGAAAGGAGATGTACTTATCTATATTGTGCGTCTTCCAATAGAAGTCTATCAGCATACTGAATCAAATGCTAATGAATTGCTTGCTTGCTGAGACTTCATAAGAAAATTAAAAGGAAGAAGTAAACAGCAGACAGGGAGGACAGCCCTGTTTTCAGATGAAGATCAAAGTTCTGGTCTGCTATATCTGGGAGTGCAGAGAGATGTTTTGGTATCCTTCAGTCTGTAAAGACAGGCTGTCAGCAGGTTAGATCTTGTAAAAGGGAGATCTCAGTCATCTCAGTTGAAAATGCTGGGAAAAGGACTTAGAGTAAGCTATCTTGTATGAAACCAGGAATGTCCTTGGGAGTTACGTTTAAGCTTTAGAAAGAGTATTATAATTTTGTTTTGTATGTAACAATTTGTTTCCAATATTCTCTCTTATTATCATTTGACTCTCTGGTCTTTCATAATATATTTATAGTGAAAACAAGAATAAGTGTATCTAAGTACTGTGCATTAAGTGGAGTGGTGATCCTGAGTTAAAGCTAATAAGCTGGTATGTACTATTCCTTTGGGAGTAGCAAATCTGAAAGTTCTGCATGTGTTCAGTGGAACAGGGGCTGGGCTCTCAAGAGGGTTGCTCAGAGGACTTGGGGGTTGGTGTATCATTAACCAGTACAAAGTGAGCAGAGCCTGCAGCAACCTGGAAGGTAGGGCTTGTGGTGCCAGAGGCTAGTGGAGTCAAGGAACTGATCCACAGCAAGCACAGACAAGACTTCCTCACACTAAGGGCACATGGTTGCGAGGTGCCTCACAACCCAGGGTACCCCAGAAAGAATCATAGCTCTGTTTTAGCCATGCCAGAATGTGGAAAGAAAGAACTTTTTTTTTTTGTTCTTTCCTCAGAAACATAAAAAGGTCTGTATTTCTTAATCCTACTACACATTTTTCACACTGTAGGATCCTACTACACATTTTTCAAAAACCCTGGTTTCCCTGCAAATGTACCTAGGAATGAAAAATTAACAATATTCTATATACCTAAAATGGGGACTACTGTGGAAACTAGTAATTTTTCTCAAAACAGAAGAAAAATTTTAGGTGTGACCACTATACATGTAATAAAGAAAGGATGCTGTTTTCAATTATTCTATTGTAGACGATACTGAAGTTTTATTATATTTCAGATGATTTAGCTATATTTACAAACAAACAATTTCATAAATTTGAAAATATGATTATTGGTAGATAAGGTTTCCCAACAGAAATAGTACAGTAATAGTAACAATAATCCAACATATTGTCCATTCTTCACAACAGTTTTGATCACCCAAATAATATACACTGCAATTAAATGAAAGATAAAACATTTTATATTGTACAGAAAAAAAAGTATTCTAAATCATACCTCAGGAGCTAGGTATTCTGGTGTACCACAGAATGTTTTCATAGTAGCTGCATCTGTGATTCCTTCTTTGCAAAGTCCAAAATCTGTAATTTTTATGTGGCCATCTTTATCCAACATTAGATTTTCTAACTGCATATTAGAAAGAACACACACAATTAGTCCATAAGTATTTCTTAACAGGCTAATATACTACATGTCATCAAAAAAGCCTTAACTAAGCTATACCTGCAAGGTAACAAATTGCACTGTAGTTTACTACTGTGTCATCAAGAAAGTGACTGTAGGCTCCCCCAATAAACACCGTAAGAGTTTGCTCAATATACTTCTTTCCCACAGAATGAAAGCAAAAAACACTTTCTAAAAATTTCCAAGACTCTCATAATTTCCAGAGGACCTATTACAATCATCACAGAATTGTTTGTTTGGCAAAATTTTATGGCTTTCCTCTATCTGTGCATTACCTGCAGCTCAGGCTCATGACCCAGAATGAAAACTGGAACAATTTTTACTGGGAATTACCCCAGAGTAATGACTAACACTAGTTCTCCAAAAGCTTCTTCTGTGTGCATAGAATTTGTTTGGATATTAAAAATAATTCAACAGATATATACTGCAAACAAGCAAAACATTGTTCTAAACTACTTTTCTGAATAGGAAACCTTAAATTTTCTCAGTAGAAAATGTGTTCTGAAAATGCTGATTCAACACTGGTGAACTACATGAATTCAAGTCAAATAATGAATCTCTAGCATTTTCCAAAGAGATAGTAATCAGGACCCCATGTATTCTGTGATTCCACAACTACAGAAGAATAGCATTAGAATTTTAGCTTTCTTTTTTTCTTTTTCTTTTTTAATATGTTTCTAGTCCTTGTGGTCTATTGTGTAGCATTTTAACTGTGTGACAGTGTTGATCATTTTAACTAAACACAATCTTCTCCCACCCCCCCACCCCACACACAAACTCTGCTTTTCTCAAAACTGTGTAACTTTATAATTACTTTGAGTTTGTCCCAATAGTCTTTGCAAAAACAAAAATTTGATTACTTGTGTTGTTTTTTTTTACCTTGAGATCACGGTACACAATCTTCCCAGAATGCAGATAGTCCAAAGCAGAGACAATTTCTGCACCATAGAAGCGTGTGCGGTCCTCAGAGAACACCCGCTCTCTCGACAAATGGAAAAACAGCTGCAGGGTAAACAGCAGGGACAGGATTGTAATAATTACTGATTTAGTGGGGGAAATTAACACAAACATAAAACACCTCTCATCACCATATTGTGATGATAGATAGTGTGCTCTCAGTGGACACTCAGCACTCTTAGACAGCAGCTGGCTTATCTTTTCCAGGTTTCCAAGGGAGGAAGACGAGCTGTTAAATCAGCGTTTTAATCAATATACCAATCTTGTTTAAGGCATTCTGCTTGCTACCCATTTAACCTTCCGTTACCAGAGGAAAAAAGTATGCAACAGCATCATCCTGTACTTTTCCCTCCACCTCCTCCTCCCAAATTTTATTTTTAGCTGTTGAGACATATCATTTAGACACCTGAACACGGATATTACTGTAAAATTTTTCTTTCTATTAATTGCCTGACTTACCTCTGAACTGAGCAAGTGTCTAGTCCTTAGCTGCATACTCACCAAACAAGTGAAGTATGACATTATGCAACCACAACATATTACAGTCTTTCACAAAAATACCAGATAGTTATTTTATGGTTTGTAAAAGCAAACCTATACATTTGTGGTATAATTTTGGTACATAAACTATACATTTACTCGATTTTATACTCTTCTTCTGTCCCCCTTTCAGCACTTCATAATTTCTTAAACTGAAAGTATTTAGTGAAAAAAAATAGTCATTAAATGATACACATTATAAAACGCAAAGAAAATGTGTAGCATGAATCTGAAGTTCTGTAGCTGTATAAGCCTTTTATGAATACAAAATAACAAAATAACCCCTCCAAAAAAAACTTATAGCAGAGTTAAACTGCAGACTATGACTATTCATTCCATTCACTAGAAATACCCCTTTTCTAGTTTGGACATGTTGGCAGATTCTTTAAACACAACTAATCTTCAAAATCCAAATTAGTTTCCATCTAACAGGCAGTTTTCTATTCTATATAAGACAGCTCATGTGACTTGATATACACAGGCACCCTATTTTCTCCTCATAAATTATATTAAAAATACTAACAAGGAATAATGAATAACAGTCCTAAAAATATGGAAAACTTCACTGTTTGGAAACCATGTACTGGGCAAGAAAATCTACAGTAAAACTACATAGTGTTTTCATGCAGTGCTAAAAGAGAAGAAATAATTCCAAACCATAGGTCAAACACAAAAGAAACACATAATAATAGACTTAACTTGTATATTACCAAAAGGTAGCTAAAAAAGTTTGAAATATTAAACATTAATACAGTGTTGGATATGAAAATTAAATTACTTTTTAAATGTTTTTGCAGTTATTTCAAGCTTGTAGACACTTCAAAATATAAATTATACATAAAGCATCAATGCAAACATTTTCATCAACAACTTCCCTGCAATTATACTTTAACATCATTTTTATTTTTTAGTTTCAACCTGAAAAAACACACTGTATTAAGCCAGTATAGTAGTCTATATTTGTTGGTCCAGGGGCCTCACGGAAAATTTAGAAAACAGAATTAGGTACGATTTTGGGTCACAAGCATCATCTCATTTTCTGTGTAACCGCCACCATCCTGTAAAAAAATTATATATATTTGCATGAACACTGAAACTTTGTTTCCTAAGTATCTAATATGCTCCTGCTGCTTATTTCCTGCCTCACATAGCAATCTCCCTCTATGACATCACAATTACTGGCAGTGGGGAAAATGATATTAGAAACTGATAATCCTGGCACATCAGATACGGAATAAACAAAGAATTTATGAGCTAAGGAACTGAGTCTGTTTTCATACAATATCCCTAATATTATAAAACAAGGGAGGAAAAATAAAATACCATGTAAACAGTATCAGAATAGTTTCTAAACAGAATTATTTATCAAAGGTTTCCATGCAGTGTTCACCAAATGCATGTTAAAACCGAAATTTTCTAAAATAGTGTTAAAATAGAAAAGTGAGAAACACAGTATTATGTCCTAGTCATGATCTTCTTGTTTCACAGAAATGGAAACCAAGAATCATTCATCTTAATTTTTTTTTAAATACTCAAAGGAATATAAAATAATGTGATTTTATTTATTTTGCTTTATAAAGCTACTAATTAGACACTTTGCAAATTTAACAAATATATACTCCATAAAAACTATGTAGTCTTCTCCTCTGACATCTGGAAGAATGGTGAAAGAGAAGGAGATGTCTGGATGCCCCCGTATGAATGGCTGTGTACAAGAGAGAGTTACAAATTTTCCATCTTCAGACTGTCCCAGTAGCTCAGCAGTAAAACTCCTCAGAACATTCTGGAACCTCAGGGGTACAGCAATTTCAGAGCAGACAACAAAAATAGGTATACTATGATTCTCAATGCACTGTAAATAGAAAAGGTACTGATTTGAGCCAGCAGGAGTTGATAATCTATCTTGACAAAGCTTTTGATTATTTAGGGTTTAGTGTGATTTTTTTTAAGTCCCTTTATTGTAATTCTCATTCAAAATATCAAATCCAAGATAGGGCTAGAAACTACTTGCAATACGCCCATGGTTGCCACAGAAGACATGAGATCCCAAGTGAAGCTAATCCCAATATCAGGTCTGACAAGAGCTCTCAGTACACTCAGGTAGCAGTTCTAACAACTAGCAGCCTAGTCTGTACCAAAAGTTCCCATATTCACTTTATCCATGGACGCACAAGGTAGACACAATTAAGTGAATCCATCTTTAAGAATCTTCTTGACCTGAGATTAGATAGAAAAAGACTTGTCATACCTTCTCTCTGGTACTTTCTAGATTCACAAAGGATCAAATATCCAACCAGAGACAGTTGAGCCAATAAAGGATCACTCAGACAGGCTTCAGAAATACATGCAAGGTCTGGCATCCTCCTTCATGATTAAATCAGGTCTTATTAGCTATCAATTACGCTTTAAGTAATAGAAGCTTGTAGTTAAAATCACTGTTTGCCATTGACTCATACCCCTAAAAGAAGGCCTCAGAAAAAGTTAAGTGGCCAGCAGGTCAGGTAACAAGTGTCAACCACCTGGTCTACCAGTAAAAAAAAAAAAAAAAACTTCCCCTACATAGTGTCATTATTTATTTGTATGCCTGTAGAGTCTAGGAGCCCCAGACATAAGCCAGGACCCCACTGTGACAGGTGCTGAACAAAAAACAAAAACACAGTCCCTGCCCCAAAGAGTTTACAATCTATGTATAAGACAAGAAACAACAGATGGATACAAACAGATGGGGGAATAAAAAGGAATGAGACTATATTGTTCAGCAAGGTAGGCAGTAGTCTCAGCACACCAGCGGCCTAACTGTTGTCAAGTTGGCCTCTCTTACCCCTCGCTAGTCAATTCAGGGATTCAAGATTTACATCTAAACAATGTTAAAATTCAGGCTTACATCTCCTTTTTCCTTCCAAAAGCACAGTTAATTGTATACTAATTTATAATATAAATAAGATACAAGAGAATCAATCAATCTTTTGGAAATAGGTACCTTAAACTAGACACTTATTCAGCAACTGACTGGAAGATTTTCTTGAAAATCCTTTAAAATGAGTCTTTGTTATAACCTAATTGAAATATATCAATTCACCTGACCAAAAAAATAGGGCAGGCCTTCTGGCTGAATAGTTGTCACCACATTCTTCCTTCTTCCATAACGCTAGGTGGGTAGATAATTCAAAATGAATAATTTGCCTAACATCTTCCTCTTTGTGATTGTCTGTGAGGTAACAGTGATTTTTATCAGATTAATTTATTAATCTCTGAATGACTTCTGCAGATAGTTCTTGGTTTGTGCCTTGTCCCTAAGCACTCTGTTACAAATATTCAAAATATGGATGATTTTGATCATTTACATAATATTGGAAACAAATGTCTATTTCTGTGCCCTGAAGGGATAACATAGTTAAGAACTGGATTTCTGATGCAAATATGTTAATTTTTTGCAAATATTCTGCAAAATACATTTAAAATTGGAAATGTAGGTAACATTCCTATAGTAAACTCATTACTAGAATGACAAAAATGTAAAGCCTATATATATATTTTTGTCATTTTGTCATTTACATTTTTGTCATTCTAGTAATGAGTTTACTATATATATATATATACACACACACATATATACATACACACATACTGTATGAGCACAGTCAAATTTTTATTAAAAATGTGAGCAACTATTCAAAGAAAACATATGGTGCGTCCATCCAGCTCTTGATGGCACTTTAAGTTTGGTAAATGAAGATCATGATGTTCTTAAATATTGTCAAAAATACACCTACATGTTATCTGGGATGTCTTACTGCAATAGAATATAATCTTCATTCATTGCTTCACCATAATATATTGTTAAAAGTTTAAGTAGTATTTTGGATACAGCTAAAAAGTTTCACAGTCTATTTAATACAAGTCTCAATTTCTATCATTATCATAAAATTAAAATACAATAGAACAAGTATTCTGAAGATGGCTAATCAAGCAATGAGAAACAATAACCTGTGTGACAGTGTTGATTATTATACCCTCAAGTGCACAGGGAGGCAGAAAGCGCGGCATTTGGAGGGAGAATTAATAAGTATTTCTGCACTCTCTGAACTGTATTAGTAATTATAAAATTTAAAGTAATTGGGCCTGATATTCAGGTCCACCCCAGCAGTGAAAAGCAATAGATAACTAGATGAACCTACCTAAAGGGAATCTCCAGATGGCAAAAAGCCAGCATCAAGGTTCACCCTCTTCCCTGGCCCTGGTATAAGGGAAGGTCCCAGAAGAAGGGGAGTGGGTCAAGGGTGTTCCTATTTTGGGCTGCAAGAATGGTCCCCAAGGTATAACTTAGATCATCTTTGAGACTGTTCTAAATTATGCCTGGAACTGGACCAGCCATCGTAAAGCCACTTTTGTCCTCTATCCTGCTAGAAGTGCTCAGCATCTCCAAACTTTGCCAAGGATCTAGCCAATTTACTTTCAATTTTTAAATTAAAACGTTCTTAAACTATGTACCTCACAGAACATCA